TCAAATAATAAATGTTTTAAATCATTTGTAATAGAATATTTATTCTTTCATTTTCATTGTTTTAAATTTTTATTAGCGATCTTTAACGGCGGCAATAAATTCCTCCGTTCACATATATTTTTGGTATAATTTGAATCTGGCCTTTCCAGTCATTCCAATTGTAAAACGTCAAAACCTACTCAATCCAGYCAACTGTCAAAGTTCGGTAGGTTTTGACGTTTTGCAATTGCTCTCTCGCTTCCAGTGAGAGAGAAGTTGGGGATCTCATTGTCTCTGGTTCAAAGCATGGGCTGCATTAGCCTGAAACTACCTACCAGAGATAATGAGATGTTTAACTCCTTTCTCACTGGAAGTGAGAGAACAATTGCTAAACGTTAAAACCACCTAAACAGTTGATCGAGTTCGGGAGGTTTTGACGTTTAACAATTGGAAACGAGCGATGGCCAGAATGAAATCTAAGCAACAAAATATGTAAACGGAGGGATTTGTTGCATCGTTCAATACCACTTATAAAAAGTGTAAAACAATGAAAATTAAATAAATTTGTGAAAATACCAAGTGTGTACCAAGTTTCATCATGATATCTCAATTTTTACTCAAGTTACAGCTTGCACGGACGGACGGACAGACGGACGAACAGACAGACATCCGGATTTCAACTCTACTCGTCACCCTGATCACTTTGATATATATAACCCTATATCTRACTCTTGTAGTTTTAGGACTTACAAACAATCGTTATGTGAACAAAACTATAATACTCTTTAGCAACTTTGTTGCGAGAGTATAAAAATTAGATGGTATACAAAGGGCAGCATGTGCGGGTGTTACTGGTGCAATCAAGTCATGTCCGACTGATGCGCCCAAAGTAATCCTGCATTAACTACCAATGGACATCACAAAACAGCAGCAATTGCGGCGATGAGAATAAAAGAATTGGGAGGTTGGAATTAGCAGAACTRCGGGCATAATGTAATCCTAAACAAGCTTAATCAGACTACATTCTCCCAAAGCTGGACTTCAATAGACACTTCTAGGTGAGAATGGAGAAGAGTTTCACCACACCGACGGGTCCAAAATGGACTGCGGAGTAGGCACGGGGTATTCTCCGCTGATATAGGCATATCTCTCTCTATATTTCTACCGAACTCGGCTAGTATCTTCCAAGCATTAGTACTAGGCATAGAAAAAGCCTGCGAATTGTATTAGAAAACAACGGGAATATACTTAAAGCAACTATATTTACGGATAGCCAGGCGGCGCTTCTGGCTTTGACTTCACCCATGACAAATTCCAGCATTGTTCACAACTGCAAGGGAGCACTAAACTCAATAAAAGACAAGCTCCAACTAAACTTGATCTGGGTTCCCGGCCACAGAAACATTTCAGTAACGAAAAAGCAGACGAGTTGGCAAAGACAGGAGGGGAGCTAATACCAAGCCCGCTATAACCGATCAAAGGAGAGATCAATAGACAATTTCAACAAGTTGCAAATAACAGGTGGAAAAACATAACAAACTGCGTCATAACTAAACAATTATGGCCAACATCTGACAGGAAAAGAACCAACGACTTATTAAATAGGTCAAGAAAAATTATTTACAGAGTAACAGCTACCACAACAGGGCACTGGCCATTTGGGGAACATGCATCCAAAATGAGTATGCCCTAAAACGACATCTGCCCTGCCTGCGGAGTAGCAGGGAACAAGGAAACAATCTTCCACTTTCTCTGCGAATGCCCAGCTCTAGCACAGATCCGACACAAAACACTTGGTATCCATCAAGCACCAAACCTTGAATGGATTTCCACTAAAAGCATATCGGACATAAGTAGCTTCATCGAAACCTAAAAATGAGATTTGAGAGAGAAGTTGAAACGTAATAGCAGATACAGAAGGTTCTACGAATAGTGTATCATAATGGCACATCAGGTGCTAGTTGACCTACCTACCTACCTATTTGTGTATTAATACAAACTTTACACTATTATATATTTTGAATGATTTTATGGAATCATCATGAAATACATATGTAGGTAAATTTTAATATACATACATACATACTTATATATTAAGTATATGYTTTGATACATAATATATACCGATAATCTATAAATTATATACCGAGTCGGTTGCGCATAGAAAATAAACGAATCTGTAGGCGCACATTGCTTTACATTGAAATTAGCATTATATATCTCATTTAACATCGAAAATGCTCAATTCTGCTATTTTCGAGTATACTGCTGCAAAAACTCTGGTGAAACACGCGTAAAATTTGTGTGTGGTGACACTACCTCATCTCTGCCGAGTACCCCTAAGAAAAGTTACAAAATCTAAAACATGAACCTTCTCTATGATAAACAGAAATAAAGGGAAGTTCAACTTGTTAGAACTTTGGGGCATTTTAAATTAAAACAGCCAACATTTAGTACGAACCAAAATTACTATATAGTGGTTATTTAAATACATTTAAATTTCTCAAATTTATTTAATTTTCATTGTTTTACATTTCTTGTAAGTGGTATTGAACGATGCAACAAATGCYTCCGTTTACAAATTTTTTAGGTAAGATTTCAATCTGGCTATCGCTCGATTCCAATTGATAAACGTCAAAACCTACTGAACTCGAATAACTATCAAAGTTCAGTTGGTTTTAACGTTTAGCAATTGTTCTCTCACTTCCAGTGAAAGAGGTGTTAAACATCTCTTTATCTCTCTCTGATAAACGTTTTCTGCATAGATAACTTGATACGAGACTCTTTGGTTTGAGAGAGAGATGTCAAAACTCGTATTTTTTATAACATTTGCCAACGATGCCACTAACTGCATTGTGTTTTGTTGCCAGCTCAGAAAACGGATCCAGGTGCCCTGCCAGCTGACACTCGAGAGAGGACGAAAAGAGATTCTGATCAATTTATCTATGATTCTCTGTCTATGATATACGTTCTCTAGTTATACTATTAGCCGGACGAAAAGTGGGGTTACGGGACATTGCGACAGGATAGAATTTATAGAATACTACCTGCATTGCCGGGCCAATTGCCTGTGGAGACCCCACATTGCTCATAGCTTACTATACAACATTATTATTATTTTAATTGGTATATTAAAATTATGCCACAATTATTAGTCCAAAATATGAATTCTTATTTTTCTCAGAAATACATTTGTAAACAAAAGGTTCATTATCCTTTTTTTATGTTCCACATAAAAGATTTAAGGAGTTGAAGAGCACAAAACGTGCGCTACATCATCTACAAACCCGACGGCATTTCGTAAATGGTGAAAGAAAACTTTCAAGAGTTCAAAGCAGGGATAATGGGATGCCCAACTTATTCCAGYGTTAGAGCGCCTCAAAATAAGCGTTTTTAATAACATTTTCCATTATGGCCAGATCGCACCAAATAAGAATTTTTGGACATTTTAAATTAACATACAAAACATTTATTACGATGGCAAATTATTATATATTGGACTTTTAATATATGGCGAAACTACTTAATTCTTTTTTATGATTTTATGGTATACTAAAACAACTGACTTTCGATATTTCAATACTTAATAACGTGAATTAAGCCTGTTAGTTCTCAAATAATAAATGTTTTAAATCATTTGTAATAGAATATTTATTCTTTCATTTTCATTGTTTTAAATTTTTATTAGCGATCTTTAACGGCGGCAATAAATTCCTCCGTTCACATATATTTTTGGTATAATTTGAATCTGGCCTTTCCAGTCATTCCAATTGTAAAACGTCAAAACCTACTCAATCCAGCCAACTGTCAAAGTTCGGTAGGTTTTGACGTTTTGCAATTGCTCTCTCGCTTCCAGTGAGAGAGAAGTTGGGGATCTCATTRTCTCTGGTTCAAAGCATGGGCTGCATTAGCTTGAAACTACCTACCAGAGATAATGAGATGTTTAACTCCTTTCTCACTGGAAGTGAGAGAACAATTGCTAAACGTTAAAACCACCTAAACAGTTGATCGAGTTCGGGAGGTTTTGACGTTTAACAATTGGAAACGAGCGATGGCCAGAATGAAATCTAAGCAACAAAATATGTAAACGGAGGGATTTGTTGCATCGTTCAATACCACTTATAAAAAGTTTGTTTTACACAATGAAAATTAAATAAATTTGTGAAAATTAAAGGTATTTGTCGAAAGATTTTGTAATTTGAAGCATCATAGTATTGTGTTCAATAGAAAATGATTAAAAAATTTAATAATTGAGAGTTAACAAGCTTAAATCCTTTTATTGGGCATGGAAAGGTCAAAAATCAGTTGTTCTAATACTTTAAAAAAATTTAAATCGTTTCTCCATATAATAAATAACCACTATATAGTAATTCTTATTCGTAGTAAATTTTGGGTGTTTTAATTTAAAATACCCAAAAATACTTATTTGTTCTATCTGGCCATAATGGAAAATGTTATAAAAAACGCTTAGTTTGAGGCGCTCTCACACTGGAATAAGTTGAACATCCCTTTATTCCTGCTACCTAACCTACGCCTTTGCGCAAGTGAATTTATCATGATAGCAAATGCCCACATACAGTTTTGGCGATGGCAATAGCAATACGTTTGACAGTTAGTATTCAATAAATTCTATCCTGTCCTTTTTTTCACAAATGTATTTCTGGGAATAATAAGTAATAAATTTAATGTGATATTTTGATTTATGCTTGTACAAGTTTATTAAATTTAAGACTTCGCTCATTCCCAACCCAGTTTGTAAAAATTTTCTGTAAATTAACAATATTGAATTAATTTTTTGGAAAAATGTTATTTTGAAAACGAACTTAATTTTTTTTTAATAATATAACGCAAACGACTTAATACTCGCTCTTCCAAACTTCATATTACCGAAATGAAATGCCGTCGGCATATGTGCAATTGGGATATGCTGCCACTTYGTAATTTCATGGAAATGCAAACTTCGTTGTCAAGTTGTCAAAYTGCTAAAGCGACAGCTTATTGCTTACAATATATGGCAAACTAATTAGTATTCCATATATTGTAAGCAAAAAGCAGTATGGAGTCTCCACAGGCAATAGACACGGCAATACAGTTGGTAAGACATAGATTTTATCGTCGAGATGCTCCGTTAACTTCGTCCTTTTACCTTCGATAACTAGGTATCGATATTCATGTCCACTGTATACTTTATTGCATACTGAAAATCATTTAAAACTGTTAAAATGTGCAGGAATATAAAATATATTTTATTGTTGTTAAGTGCAGTCTTGTTTTTTGGCTTAGTGGTATCATCAACGGACAAGGCTGACCCATATAAAATTCTAGGAATAGTAAATCATGCAACAGTTCAAGACATTAGAAGAGCATATAAGCATTTGGTTAGGGTTTGGTGAGTATAAGATAGATGTACAGTATGTTAAATCCATGTTCGTACACAACATACGATTTCGGGGATAAAATGGTTGTCACTGGAAAGGTGACGTTCTCCAGATCACGAAAATATATATACATATGTATAAAGTTGCTGCTGATTTTAAAGATATTTGTATATAAAGTTAAAAAATTGACAACTTTCAAATTGAAAATTTGTATCAGACAACTACAACGAGTATGATAAAATCAGAACAAACAGTCGTGCCAAAAATAATCAAATCAAATCAGTTCAGTATAGACAGCATTGTTAATCAATTCGAGTAGCCGCCAGGGGTTGTGTTTAGTATCGCGCCGGTTAATTTTGGCTCACCGTACCTAAATGAGAGAACCAAATGGAAAATTTTAAACACGCATGTATGCTTAAATTATCGAACTTTGTTTTAAATAATATTTTATAAAAATCGGTTCACAAATTTTTCCACAAATTCACTTTAAAAAATGCTATTTTTTGCAAAATTCTAAATAT